CTACATTCCAGTCTGTAATGGTTTGATAAAGACTTATCATTGTTTTAAAAGAGAGATACATACAGGTAGTCCTCAATTTACAGTTCATTCAGTGACTGTTCAAAGTTACAACAGCACTGAAAAAAGTGACTTATGACCATTTTTCACACTTACGACCATTGCAGCATCCCTATGGTCACATGATCAAAACTTGGATGATCAGCAACTGACTCATATTTATGACAGTTACAGTGTCCCAGAGTCATGTGATCACATTTTGCAACCTTCTGAGTCAATGGGGAAGCCAGACTCATTTAACAACTGGATTACTAACTTAATAACTGCAGTGATTCACTTAACAATTGTGGCAAGAAAGGTCGCACAACTGGGGCAAAACTCACTTAACAAATGTCTCGCTTAACAACAGAAATTTTGGGCTCAATTGTGGTCGTAAGTCAAGGGCTACCTGTAAGTTAAATGAAAATACAAAAGCAACTATGTTAGTTAGGTAAAGGTAAAGGTTCCCCGCACATGTGTGCTAGTCGTTTCTGGCTCTAGGGGGCAGTGCTCATCTCTGTTTCAAAGCCGAAGAGCCAGTACTGTCCGAAAACGTCTCCATGGTCATGTGGCCGGCATGACTAAATGCCAAAGGCACACGGAACGCTGTTACCTTCCCACAAAAGGTGGTCCCTATTTTTCTACTTGCATTTTTTACATGCTTTTGAACTGCTAGGTTGGCAGAAGCTGGGACAAATAACAGGAGCTCACTCCATTATGCGGCACTTGGGATTTGAACCACTGAACTGCCAACCTTCTGATCGACAAACTCAGTGTCTTAGCCACTGAGTAATCAAATCCATGTTATGTGCCCCTCAATGGAAACCGCTGATCCATAGAGTGGCCGAGGGTCAGACTCAACTGAGAGGCTGATTGTCAATGAAGATGATGAGGAAGACTTCCATTTTCACTCCTTAGGAACTAAGCAGAAGGTCAGTGACCTCTGATAAATAAACTGTATAACTTTTGGTTTTACTTTGAGAAACAGAAAAGCCCTAAATAAGGCTTCATTTCCTCCTTAGCACCTTCAAGAAGAGTTGAGTTTATATAGGGCATGTTCACACAGAGCTTTTGCACCATTCCAAGATCAATTCTGGACTCCTATCCTCGTATTTAGTAGCTGAACTCATTTATTTTTCACTTTGCTGTAGTGATGAAAAGAAAAGCCTTTTTCTTTGCAAGGCTGAATCTCTGCAGAGCTGGTGGGGATCTGTTTGCCCGTTGTCAGGAATTCATCCCTCCAGGGCTTCAGCTGATAAAGCATTCGGTTCTGAGATTCTAAAAGGGGAAATGTAGCTGGCAGCATCACAGGTTTCCCTTCACATTAATCACTTCAGGAATTTTCATCAGAGGTGAGGAACATAACAAATCAAAATTTTCACCCTTTCCAAAGTAGCACAGTTGATCCGATTTGTGACTGTTCGTAGACTTTGCAACCAGTGCTCAAGAACTCACTTAAAGGAAATTTAGCAAAGTACTATCTTGGAATTAAAGTTAGTTCTATCTGTTTCTCTTAAGGGTACCTTCAAGTTTCACCATCTTGTTCCTGGTGTTTCTCTGAAGGTATGGTTTCAAATATATCTCTATATACCTCAGAAACTTACTATATTGGATTTCAGTCTGGGGAAAAGCATATGGCAGGATGCTTTTTTTTTTTTTAATTTGATTTATATGCCACCCTTCTCCAGAGACTCAGGGCGGCTTACAATGCGTTAAGCAATAGACTTCATACTTTTGTATATTTATACAAAGTCAGCTTATTGCCCCCACAAACTGGGTCCTCAATTTACCTACCTTAGAAAGGATGGAAGGCTGAGTCAACCTTGAGCCTGGTGGGATTTGAACTTGCAGTAATTGCAGGCAGCTGGATGTTAAATGCTGCCTTAGGAGGCATTAGCCTCCTACGCCACTCAGGCTTACACCACTCAGGCCCATGCCAGGAGGATGTTGTCCTCCTGGCATGGCTAGTCTAGTGAAGAGAAGGACCAGGGGAGACATGATAGCAGTCTTCCAATATTTGAGGGGCTGCCACAGAGAAGAGGGGGTCAAGCTATTCTCCAAAGCATCTGAAGGCCAGACAAGGAATAATGGATGGAAACTGACCAAGGAGAGATTCAACTTGGAAATAAGGAGAAATTTTCTGACAGAACAATCAACCAATGGAACAGAAGTCGCCTTCAGAAGTTATGGGTGCTTCATCACTGGAAACTTTCAAGAAGAGACTGGGCTGCCATCTGTCAGAAATGGTGTAGGGTCTTCTGTTTGGATAGGGGTTTGGACTAGAAGACCTTTCCAACACTGTTAATTGTTAATTCTGGTCCTTTTACCATAATTGCTAACAAGACGCTTTTCAATGCAACAAAAGATTGTTAATCTGGAGGTTTTGCAGCTATTCTTTGGGTATTGTTTTCAAATGAGCAGAGAAAAAAACATTCTGGAAATATGGTTGAAGTGTTAAAAAAAAGGGGGGGGTTAGCATTTAATTTTATTTCCATTTTGCATGGTGTGTGATGTTTGCTCTAACCCCAAAGCTGCAGTACTTCAAGATCAGAGATTACTTGTTCTTTTTGTGGTTTTCGCTGTCTTTTGTTAGCATTTCAAACTGCAAAAATTCAAATATAGGTTGAGAACATAGGTCAGCTGCAAACCGATTAGTGAAAGACTGAAAAGTGGAAGCAACATGATGTGGTAAAAGAATCCCCATTTAGCATGGCTAACACATCTGGAGAGCATCAAGTTTGGGAAGGTAGAGATGCAGATGGAGTTTTACCAAGGAGACATAAAAGTATGCAGAGATGCCTCGAACACCTGGGGAGTGTTAGAATCCATAAAGCATTCTCTCTACTAAGAACCAAGCCATAGTAAGCAGTTTGTTAATAGAATAGAATTAGAATTAGAATTAGAATTAGAATAGAGTAGAGTAGAGTAGAGTAGAATAGAATAGAATAGAATAGAATAGAATAGAATAGAATAGAATAGAATAGAATAGAATAGAATAGAATAGAATAGAATAGAATTCTTTATTGGCCAAGTGTGATTAGAGACACAAGGAATTTGTCTTGGTGCATACGCTCTCCGAGTACATAAAAGAAAAGAAATACATTTGTCAGGAATCATAAGGTACAACACTTAATGATAGTCATAGGGAAACAGTCAATATAAATCTTAAGGATACCAGCAACAAGGTTACAGTCATACAGTCATAAGTGGGAGGAGATGGGTGATAGGAATGATGAGAAGATTAATAGTAATGCAGACTTAGTAACTAGTTTGACAGTGTTGAGGGGATTATTTGTTTAGCAGAGTGATGGCGTTTGGGAAAAACTGTCCTTCTATAGCGTTGTTTTGAGGGTAGGAGTTGAAACAGTTTATGTCCAGGATGCGAGGGGCCTGTAAATATTTTTACAGCCTTCTTTTTGACTCATGCAGTATGCAGGTCCTCAATGGAAGGCAGGTTGGTAGTAATTGTTTTTTCTGCAGTTCTAATTATCCTCTGAAGTCTGTCTCTGTCTTGTTGGGTTGCAGAACGAAACCAGACAGTTATAGAAGTGCAGATGATAGACTCAATAATTCCACTGTAGAACTGTATAGAACTCTGTAGAACTGTAGAACTGTTTGTTGATATTTCATGCAAACCAAGCAATGGGGTTCATTTTATAGTGATGCTCAAGGGTCTTATTGACAAAAAATGTTTGTGGCCTCTGACAAACATAAAACCACACACAAATTTTATTTATTTAGAAAATGTATCCTCATCTAACCTATAAACTCTGAGTGGCTAAAAACAACAAACAAGTTAAAATCGTAAAACATCAACCAAGAAACCAAGTCATACATACATGGGTCTCATCTACTATCCTGGACCAGGGGTCAGCAATCTGCGGCTCTGGAGCCACATGTGGCTCTTTGGGCCCTCTGCTGTGGCTCCCTGTCAGGTGATCCCACCACTGGCTGGCCCCATCCCTCGCCCTCCCCTCCCAATCACTCCTTGCCTGGCCTGAGAAGGTAAGGGTGACTGTGGGGGACTGAGAAGCGGCCAGGGCAGAGACAGAGAGATACAAAGAGAGGGGGAGGGGAAGAGAGAGGGGGAGAGGGAGGGAGGGAGAGGAGAGAGAGAGATGTCAAAATGATTTTGTGGTTCCTGGTGTTTTTTAACAACTGATTCTCTGCCCGAGGTGGCGCAGTGGTTAGAGTGCAGTACTGCAGCTACTTCAGCTGACTGCTAGTTCAGCAGATCAGCAGATCAAATCTCACCGGCTCAAGGTTGACTCAGCCTTCCATCCTTCCGAGGTGGGTAAAATGAGGACCCAGATTGTTGGGGGCAATATGCTAATGCTAATGCAATATGCTATATGCTAACTTTGTAAATCGCTTAGAGAGGGCTGTAAAGCACTATAGAAGTCTAAATAATAAATAAATAAATAAATAAATAAATAAATAAATAAATAAATAAATAATGACCAGCTGGGTAGGTGTGGCTTGGGGGGGTCATGTGACTGGTGGAAGTGAGTGACATTGAGTTGGCCACGCCCACCCAGGTTTTGTGGCTCCTGTTGTTTTCTTTTCTGTGGGAAACAGGTCCAAATGGCTCTTTGAGTATTTAAGGTTGCAGACCCCTGTCCTGGACCAACACCTGGGGGAAATGCCAGATCTTCAGAATCTTCTGTAAGGTCAAGATATCTTCCAGTAATAGAATTCCTCCAAGATAAGCAGCAGTGCACTCATGTCAGAAGCACTGAGGTGCTTCTGGGTTGAAAAGATTAGCCAGTGACTTCACCGTTGCCCTGGGGACACCAAGTTGGGGACTCCTTTTCATATTATCATCAGGAGCTGGAGTGAAAGACAAGAGCTCAGTCCCTCCCCAGGCAGCTCTTGGGTCTCAAACATGGGCTTGCTAACCTTCTGCCCAGCGGTCCAACAACTCAAGCCACTGTGCTCCCTAAAACAAGCATCAATACTAGACAACAGAAGAATGAGGAAGAGCTCAGCAGGGACAAATACAGTAAGATTAAAGGCATTTGCTCCAAACTTCCTCTTGTTCCCCCCTTCCTTTTTCCTTTCCTCTCCGGTCCCTTTGAAGATTTTCAGGTCTAGAGTTCAGCTCCATCCAACTGCTAGATGTATTATTCATTTCTATACTTTAATGATGTGATAAGATTTTTGGGAAATAGGAAAAGGCTCATTAAGCTGCCATTTGAATATAGATCACAACTAAATTTGGAGGGAGAGATGGAGTTTGCAAGCCAAGCATATCCTTGTCCACCCACTTTCCCAGGTTTTTTGCACATGCCGTAAGGATGTTTCCTGGGGAGAGAATTTGGTATTAGTACTTATACACTGTGGATTCTTTAATTAATTAGGAAATGATATCAGTGGTGGAATATTGTCGGTTTAATAACCGGTTCGGTGAGCACATGCATGTGCGCCTAAGGTGCTTGTGTGCAGTGCTGAAAATGAAGCATTTAGAAATTCAGCTGCTTACCTTCCAAGTCAGCAACAGTAAGTAGAACAGCGAGGGAGGGCGGAATCAACTGTGCTGTGCGATTGAGATGAGCTACAAAGCAGGAAATAAAGGACAGGATGGAGCAGGGGTGGGTGGGCGGGGCCAACTGTTTGTCGGAACTACCGGTTTTCCCGAACCGGTCCGAACCAGCTGAATACCATCTCTGAATGATATGTAATGGGAAATGCAAAATGTACAGAGAGGGTATATGCATACATAAAAACTGGAGAGATAACATATTTTTGTAACAAAAACCTAATAAAAATATGCATTTGTAAGCTGTTGGTGATAGCCTAGCAGTACAGTAAGAAATGGTGCCTTTCATTCCCTTTGGTTAGCTGTTCTTCTGTATTCTCTGAGATAAAAAGTAATTACGATAAATACTCTTTTTTTTTTTTTGCTCTTTGGTAGTTCTTTTTTTTAAAAAAAATAATTTCTATTAAACAGTTTTTAAAAACCAAAAAAAAAACAAAAAAAAAAAACAAAAACCAAACAGATATTTACATCATCTTCTTTTCAACATCTTCGCATCAGTAATCCATATTTATACATTTTCTCTTTCTTATCTTAATCTATCTTTTATACATATATTTCTAGTATATCATATATATATATTCTCTTAATCTAAATATTTTATTTACATTTAACATAAACAGGTACCTAGTTTCCTTTCCACAATTTATATCTTCCCATTTGTTTCCATATTCCTCCACCTAATTTAACCATTATTTAGATTTCTTTTGTCCCCCTTTTCCCCCCTTTCTCCTCCAACCATTTATACCCTTTCTCCCAGACTAAGTAGTATTCTGTTTCATCTTTTTCATGTATCTCCTGTGTGAGTTTATCCATTTCCGCACATTCCATAATTTTTCTAATCACCTTGTCTTTTTTACTTACTATAATTACTCTTTTTTTTCTTCTGAATCCTAGCTTGGAGATCTCCAGCTAATTCTGAAGATTTGACTGGGTAGGTTGTAATGTTGTTGTTGTTGTTGTTGTTGTTGTTGTTGTTGTTGTTGTTGTTATTGGTTAATCTTTAGTGAGATTCACAGCCTTTTTTTTTTTTTTTTAATTTGATTTATATGCCGCCCTTCTCCGGAGACTCAGGGCGGCTTACAATGCGTTAAGCAATAGCCTTCATTCTTTTGTATATTTTATACAAAGTCAGCTTATTGCCCCCACAAACTGGGTCCTCATTTCACCTACCTTAGAAAGGATGGAAGGCTGAGTCAACCTTGAGCCTTCGAGAGATTCGAACCAGCAGAAATTGCAGGCAGCTGTGTTAATAACAGGGTGCGTAGACCACTGTACTATCAAGGCTCTTTGAGGCTGGTTAATAGCTCAGCAGCTCAAGTCCTAACCAAGGACCTAGGAACTGTTAAGGTATCGTCGGAGGATGTAAGCTGTTCCGAGTAAGGTGGTTTTTTGTAGAGTCAAAATGTTCAAGTCCGGCAAATTTAGAATTTCTAATTAGCGGGGTAGCCCTTTGGGTATTGCTCCAAGGGCTCCAATTACAATCGGGACAACACACAATTTCTTTTTCCACAGTCGCTCAACTTCAATTTGCAAATCCCGGTACTTTGTGATTTTTTCTTGCTGCTTATCTTCAATCCGTGCATCACCAGGTATTGCAATGTCAATGAACCATACTTTTTTCTTTTCAACTATTGTTATGTCAGGTGTGTTGTGGACCAAGTGCCTGTCAGTCTGAATCCTAAAGTCCCACAAGATCTTGAGTTTCTCATTCTCTAAAACTTTCTCAACCTGATGTTCCCAGTGGTTTTTGCTGTACTCAAATCCAAACTTCTGGCACAATTTCCAGTGAATGATCTTAGCAACACGGTCATGGCGTTGTAGGTAGTCAGTTTGTGAAATTTTGCTGCACCCACTAATCAGGTGGTCGACTGTCTCATCTTTCTCATTACAGAGGCGGCATGTTGCTGTTGTTGTTGTTGTTGTTGTTGTTGTTGTTGTTATTATTATTATTATTATTATTATTATTATTATTATTACAGGTAGTCCTCGACTTACAACATTTTATTTAGTGACCGTTCAAAGTTACAACAGCATTGGAAAAAGTGACTTACGGCCATTGTTCACACTTACGACATTTGCCGCATCCCCATGGTCATGTGATCAAAATTCAGATGCTTGGCAACTGCTGGTTCATATTTATGACCTTTGCTGTGTCCTAAAGTCATGTGATCCCCTTTTGTGACCTTCTGATGAGCAAAGTCAATGGGGAAGCCAGATTCACTTAGCAACTGGGTTATCAACTTATCAACTGCAGTGATTGGCTTAACAACTGTGGAAAGAAAGGTCATAAAATGGAGCAAAATTCACTTAACAAATGTCTTACTTAACAACACAAATTTTGGGCTCAATTGTGGTTGTAAGTCTGGTTACATGACCAGAATTTGCAGTAAATGGGGAAAAAAATGAATTTACAAGATAGGTTGGATTTGCTTAATGACCATTTGGCTTACTTAACAATTTTGGTCACTCATTTAATGACTTATTACCAAAATTCTAGGCCTGATAGCGGTCATAAGTAGATGACTACTGTAGGAAATGAATCCAAAATTTATAGGTTATTATTTCAATTGCAAATAAGGGGTCCATCCCATGGTTTAAAGAATGCTTAGGATATTGATCGTGGTAAATTCATTCAGCAGATAAATTGGCCAGAATTTGGGAAATCAGCCAGATTCAGCTCAGCTTCAATGACAGAAAGATAGTGTAACATTATGTATTGTTGGCACTTGACTCCAGATAAAAGGTAAAGGTTCCCCTCGCACATATACACTAGTCGTTCCCGACTCTAGGGGGCGGTGTGCATCTCCGTTTCAAAGCCAAAGAGCAAGCACTGTCTGAAGACATCTCCATGGTCATGTGGCCAGCATGACTAAACATCAAAGGCGCACGGAATGCTGTTACCTTCCCACCAAAGGTGGTCCCTATTTTTCTACTTGCATTTTTTAACGTGCTTTCGAACTGCTAGGTTGGCAGAAACTGGGACAAGTAATGGGAGCTCACCCATTATGCAGCAGTAGGGATTCGAACTGCTGAACTGCCGACCTTTCGATTGACAAGCTCAGCATTTTAGCCACTGAGCCACCGTGTCCCTTTGACTCCAGATAGATGAGGATATATACTGTACATCAGAATCATTGTTCAATATATTTTTTGTATTTTCTATCTATTTTATTCCCTCTGGATGTTGCATTTATGCTGTCTAGTTACTTTGATAATGTTTATTAATCATCGTTCAATGATATAAACACAATTAGTCTTTTGACCACAAAAAAGGATGAAAATGACAAAATTTCTGTAAAAAATGACAGAACAATGGAAATCAAATCTTTATTATAATCCTAGGCAAACATAGGAAGGGCAAAACACAAATAGTAATTTTAAAAGGTGAAAGAAATATAAAATACATAAGGTTAAAAAAACCAAATATATATATATTTAAAAACAAAAACCTATAATCTAAACTACTATGACATTGACAATCTATCATAAGAACTATCTATTTAAAAAAAGGCAGTTTGGTGTAGCAATTAAGATGCCGCTCTAGAAATCAGGAGACAATGAATTCCAGTCCCACTTTAGGCATGCAAGCTAGCTAAGTGACACTGGGCCAATCATCAGGAGATAGTGAGTTCTAGTCCGCCTTCGGCATGAAAGCCAATAGGGTAACTTGGGCCAAACCCCAGGAGATTGTGAGTTCTAGTCCCACCTAAAACATGAAAACTGGCTAGGTAACTATGGGCCAATCACTGTCTCTGAGCCAACTCACCTCACAGAGTTATTGTTGTGGAAAAACAAAGCAGAGGTGAAATCCACTTACCTTCGCTACCGGTTCGGGAACAGGAGCGCGTGGGAGCGTGCGTATGCATAGCCCGTACGTGTCTCTTCTGCACATGCGCAGAGAGTCAACAACGGGATGTAAAGACATCCCGACAGTTGGGCAAAGCCTTCTGCTGCCGGCACTACTGGTTCGTACAAGATCTGGCCGGATTTCACCGCTGGGAGGAAGATATATTAGATATATTCGCCTCCTTTCGTTATTTATATAAAAAAGACAGGATAATATAAATAAATCAATGAAACAGAATAATACAAAGCTTAAGAAATCAAATATTCATTAAAGCTGGCTTGCGGCACAAGTCATTATCTTTGAGATCGCCTTCTGCCACCAAGAGCCTCCCGCCGGCCAGTACCTCCCACAGAGAGGGGCTCCTCGGGGTGCCGTTGGTCAAACAGTGTCAGCTGGTGGCCCCCAGGGGAAGAGCCTTCTCTGTGGGGGCATTTGCTCTATGGAACAAATTGCCCCTGGAGATAAGGAGGATTCCAGATCTACGCACCTTCCACCGCGCCCTCAAGACCTTTCTATTCCAACAAGCTGGGCTGGCCTAACTCTTTAAATTGAGTAATTTAGTTCTTAATTTGATTTTAAATTGGGGGTGTTTTAATTGTCGTGGGCCAATACTATTTAATTTGTTTTAAACTATTTTTAAATTTTGTATTCTATGTATTTTTATCTTCGGCTGTTCACCGCCCTGAGTCCTTCGGGAGAAGGGCGGTGTATAAATTTGAACAATAAATAAATAATAAAATAAATATCATCTGACAGATAATACAGAACAATACAGATTTCAGCCTTTTGTCCTTATGCCCTGGCTGATGCAATCATATAAATTAAGTTGTAAATTTGTGATGCATGTTGTACCATTTGCCTTCCCCTTTACCCTCGAAATATCTATGCACTATAGTTGCTTACGGATGCTGCTCCCTGAGTGCAACACACATGCTATGGAGACCAAAACAAAAGACCAAAACAAAAAGCAACTACTGGCAGGAAAACTACACATAGGAGAAAGTAGCGTGAACAGCCTCTACATTCGGTAATTACATAAAAGATGGAAAACATTAGTCTTTCTCCAGGGGAAGCTTAATAGCTTTTCATCTACCTTAGAATCATGGATAAAAGTTATAGTGTAATTTGATTTCCACCCACCTTCCGATTTAACAACCCTTGATGTAGGTAACTTGTCGAAATATATTTATTAGATTTATATCCTGCCTTTTTTATCTCCTCAAAGGACATCCAGGCAAGATCCAAGGTCAAGTAGCCCTTTCTGTTGCTTTGCCTTTGTCTGCTCATGAAGCTTTCCTGACCTGCTCCCGAGTTGCCATAGGCAGGGGGATGGGAAATCGTGCCTTTCAGCTGCACCGAGAAATTAACACCTCAATCAAAACAAAACACATCCTAGCCGGATGAAGTCAAGGCCATCTCCACGGAGACCCACAACACCCAGAGGGAGTGACTTCTATGACCCGCAAAATTGCTTCGTTGGGGAATGTGACTGGTGACACTCCCTAGGGGGAGGGGGCAACAGGATCAAAGGCAAGGTGCGAACTTGGTGAAGTCAAAGTTCACTTCATTTAGTTTGTGCCGACATGGTGCTCCTAATAACTGGATTTTTCTTGCTAAATGGCTTGGGGTTCCTGCTTTTATTAGAGCATCAATCGGAACCCTGATAGCCTTGGTAATTTGCAATAATAATAGTAATAGCACTTACTCATAAACTGCTTCATAGTGCTTTATGGCCCGCTCTAACAGTAGTGGGTTTCACTCAGTGATGGGTTTCAAAAAATTTTACTACTGGTTCTGCGGGTGTGGCATGTTGGGCATGGAATGGCTTGGTGGGCGTGGCAGGGGAAGGATACTGTAAAATTCCCATTCCCACCCCACTCCAGGAGAAGGTTACTGCAAAATCCCCATTTCCTCCTGATCAGCTGGGACTCGAGAGGCAGAGAATAGATGGGGGTGGGGCCAGTCAGAGGTGGTATTTACCAGTTCTCTGAACTACTCAAATTTTCCACTACCAGTTCTCCAGAACTGGTCAGAACCTGCTGAAACCCACCTCTGGTTTCACTTACCTTTGCTACCAGTTCGGAACTGTGAGTATGCATGTGCGCAGAGTGTCTGCGATGACGTCTGGGCGGGTGGGTGAAGGCTCCTGCCACCGCTGCTACCAGTTCACCCAAACAGGGGCGAACCGGTAAAAACTCACCACCGCTCTCTAAGTAGTTTACAAAGTAAACTACAAATATTGCCCCCAACAATCTGTGTCCTCATTTTACTGATCTTGGAAGGATGGAAGACTGAGCCAACCTTGAGACTGATAACACTAAACCCTTGGTCTGTGGACTGGCACTGGATCACAGCATGCCAGAAACTGGGCCATGCAAACAAGTGAAGCCCCATATGCAGGATGCAGAAAACATGTGAAACCACACCCCTTCCGGTCCATGGAAAAACCTCTTTCCACGGAACCGGTCCCTGGTTCCCAAAAGGTTGGGGGCCATTGCACTAAACCATAAAAATAATCAGTTCCGAGATGCATCTTTGAAGAAAAGAAAATGAAAGAATAAACAGCTGTTACTGAAAGAAGACTGCTCTAAGTGTAAATTAAACATGTCTGACTTGGGGTACAGGAAGGAGCTCAAAAGCAGGGGTAAAATCCAGCAGGTTCTGACAGGTTCTGGAGAACCGGTAGCAGAAATTTTGAGCAATTTGGAGAACCGGCAAATACCACCTCTGGCTGGCCCCAGAGAGGGGTGGGAATGGAGATTTTGCAGTATTCTTCCCCTGCCACTGCCACCAAGCCACGGCCACCAAGCCAAACCATACCCACCAAGCCATGCCCATAGAACCGGTAGTAAAAAAAAATTGGATTTCACCACTGCTCAAAAGGTCGACTCAAGCTCTATTTTGGTTTTTAACAGGCTAAACACAGCATCAGGGAATATTAGGAAAAAGACAGGAAATTAAACCAAAAGAATGGTTAATATTATTATAGCGATCTTTTTGGCACACCCTAGGCCTCTTCTC